AGTTCATCTGGACAGGGCATTGACGCAGGCTGTGAGTGAACCCTCTCACTGCTACTAGTGGTTGCAGAGCTGTAGTCATTCCCATCTCAGTCATCATTTCACAATTGTGCTTGGAGGTGAGGCATAGAATGACTGTCAGCTGCAGGCAGGACATGTGCTGCCTGGGGGTATGGTACTACCAGCCTGGGTGCTGCCTGCAGGAGCAAGAGCAAGAGCTTGAAATTGGTCATTTCATAGGGTGGCAGTGCTGGAGGTATCCAGGCAGGTTTAGGGCCTCTCAGACAGCTGTAGCTATGGGCCCAGGTGGAGCATATCAGTGGTGATGGGATGCTGCTCAGCTGGCTGGACACCAGGAGGTAGTGATGATGGGGTTGCTGTTCTGGGGAAGGCTGTGCTGCTGGAAAAGTGACATCAGCCCCCTGTTCAGCCCATGGGCAGAGCATGAGAGAGGTCCCTGTGGCTGTGTGTGCAGGCCAGGATGGCAAGAAGGGCAGGAGGGAGCTGAAATGGTTTTGGGCTGTAATCTATACAACTGTTTCTCTTGCAGCTGTCTTCTGAGCCTTTTCCTTCACAAACACAAAGGGAGAGGGCCCTGTTTTTCACTTTCCCAGAGCATGTTCAAAACCCTGATTTTCTGGTACTGGAGGAAAGCCTAGCTGTTGCTGCCTGCTAGCTCCTGTACAACATCTGCCTGACAGGAGGACAAGGCAATAGCAGCACCATGCTTGCATAGTCCTCTCTTCCACCCCAGTGTCTTGACAGAAAATAACAGAGGGACTTTGAACAAAAGGAAATGTGACACACTTTGTTCCAAGCAGTCACCTTGACACTGCTGCTGTGTGCCAGAACTGGCTGTCCCTTCACACCTTGCACTGGGACACTGATACTAAATGGGCTTTGGGGGAAACTGGACTGTGGAATAGCATGTGAACCATGAAACAAAGAGATTAAATGCCCATTGGGGTGGCTAAATCTGCTAGCATCTTCTGTTGCAAAGCAAGGTAATTGACTGATACTCCAAGTGCTAAAAAACCCAGATCTGGAGCATGCTGAGATAGCAGTGTGAATATGAACCCTGCTTACTACAGGTTTGGCCATGTCCTCGCTGCACCTGGGTGTAATGGTGGTAGTGAATGTGCCCTAATGTGAAAGCAGGGTCCTCACATGTGTGCCCTGTTGATTCACTCCAGATGATTAGGAAAACCTTGGATCATAGGCAAGAAAACTTTAAATTGAAGCATTTCCAGAGAGCAGCACTGGACCTTGTGGAGAGGTAAGAGGGCTAAAAATCTGTATTATATTTAAGTGATACTCCCTCTACTAAGGAAGACGGACTTTCCATCTGTACTTAAACCACTGATTTGGTGTGCTGATGGAGTAATTCATTTTTGTAGCACCCTAGAAAGGAAGTTCCTTTACTCCGTTTATAATTTTGCGTGTTTATCATTTGTGTTTATTGTTTTCTATGTACCTGATTACAAAATTGACTAAATTTGTGTTAAGAATCTATCCCAGTTACTTTTAATTGCAACATTAACTGCTTTCTTTTGGCTTATTTCATAGGATTGAATTAATATCTGAAGGAATTATAATACTGTGTGTGTTGTTCTTAACAGCATCTATGACTTTATTTCTAAGATTGGATGGATCCTTGCTCATATGCTTACCAAGATGTTTGTGTAAGTGTTATATAAATGTATACCTATAATATGCATATGCTGTGGGCCACCTCAAAACATTTTACTGCTCCTGGCAGACAGAACAGACAGCAGGCAATATGAGTATTTGCAAATTTGCATTGGAAAAGCTGCTCAAAACTAAATATCAAACAGATGATGTATGGGTTTTCAGGAAGCTGTGCCATTGTGTATTAGGTGCCATGGAGACATCTCTTAATGGTAATACACCCGTGAACTTTTGCAATATGAGCCTGGAGGAAAGTGTTGGCTACAAAAAATTCTCTTCTGCTAGGAGTTAACTTCTACCTGGGACATGCTCGGGGTGAAACTGCTGATGAAGATGATACTTAGCAACTGTGCTGCGATAAGTTAATTACAGAGGAACAGCCTGATGGATGCAGTTTGTCTTGGCTGCGCTGCACAGACTTATAATAGGAAGAAAGGTGATGGTATCTTCCGAGCAGCACAGCTGAAATACTGCTATTCTCCAGGCTAATATGGGAGCAAGTGCCTCCCTTTCAGTTTGTGTAAGTGAACTTACGTCTGGCTTTGTGGGTCTCTCTCATGTCTTCTCTTGTTTTCTGAGAAAGATGCTCTTCTTTTCTCAACTCAGCTGTTGTATCTGAGACTTTTAGAGTAAAATATCATAGATATTTTTAATATAGAGTCTTTTTTTAACACGTCACAACTTATACAGAAAAAATGTTTAAAATACATTAATTTTTCTATGCTTTTTCTTTTTCTTTTTTTTTTTTTGTAGTAATCATTAGCTCTTTAGCATTAATAATATCATCTTCTAACCTTGCATATTATGTACTGAAAGAGCAGAATAAGGTTTAGTTTTTTCAGTTTGTGCACTTTTGCCATGGCAACAGAGCTGAACAGAAGCCAAGTCAACAGTGCCGCAAGCCAGAACTTGAAGGTGTACATTTTATAAGCTGCTTTTGCTGTAGCAATTCAGCTGCGAATCTGTGAGAAAGTCTTTCCTTTTTCCTTTTGTAGTGAAACATAGTAATAACAACACAATATATAATATTATATATCATATATTGTAAAATTATATAATATTATATATATAATATAATAACATAGTAATAACAACATTTAAGAAGGTTTTTTAATGTGTTAGGATGGCACTATTAAAACATAAAAATCAGAATCCCCCTTTAAAATGAAATGTGGGTGCTTGTTTAAATCTTCCTGATGCAGAACTGATACCAGCATGTAAGTCTGGAAGGTTTGGGTTTAGAATTCTGCTTTCTGTGCTGTGTGAAGCTTTGAATAAATGAGTCCTTTCCTGTGTGATAAAGCATGGCCTGCATGAAAGAAAATTGAGAACAAAATGCAGCATAGTGGATAATACCAAATCATAGAATCATAGAAAAGCTTGGGTTGGAAGGGACCCCAAGGATCATCAAGTTCCAACCCCCCTGCCATGTGTAAAGCCACCAACTTCCACATTTAATACTAGGCCAGGCTGCCCAGGTCCCCATCACAACTCACCTTGAACACCTCCAGGGACTTCATAAGGCAAAATGCAGAGGAATGGGTATGAGGAGGGAAGGAGAATAAGGAAGTGGGGGCATTTTCCCCTTTGCTAGGTCTGATACTGGTTGATTTCTACTTGTATTTTTCTGGGAAATTCAGAGGTCAGTCTGTGGACAGAGAAGTGTGCTGATAGCAGGTGCCTGCAGCAAACTTTGGGTTTGGTTGGGTACTGCTACAAACACGATGTGCTTTCACACATTAGGTGTGGTGTGTGTGGCTAAGAGTGTGTCAGCATATGTGCTGAGAATATGGGTTTCCATTAGCTAGGGTTTGTGGAAAGTTGCATTTTTTTGGATTTAATATGCTGAATGTAGGGGTTAAGTTTGCATTACTTAGGAGCAAGAGAACAGGAGGGAAGGGGACAATTGGTGCTTGAGGCTCCTGGCTTTGTGTATTTTGGTAGCTGAGGTAATGCTGCGTCTGCATTACACAGGAACTCAGTTTCCAAAGCAGAAGGTTTGATTGCCAGGGAGGCTGGTGTGGTTATAGCAATGCTCAGGAGTGTTCTCATGGAACAGCTGACATAAATAGCACATGTACCTTTCAGGGCTTCAGGTTAAGCTTCTGACTTGTGGCCACCTGGATTTGAATACAGAAGCAATGGGAGGCTTGTGGAACTCGGAACGACTGCTGCTGTGCCATGCTGCTCTTCTCATCAGCAGGCTGTGGTGAAGGCCCCGCCACTAGGACCTCCCAAGAGACCTACAGCTACTACTCACAGCCCTCTATGTTTTAAGTTTGCATGGTTGGATTTCTTGCTGAACTGTAGCGTTAGGTTGTGTCTATGTGCAGTTATAGGCATGTCTATGTGTGGAAACCACAATAAGCATTAGCTGAGCTCCTGGCTCTGCAGGGCTGAAAGCTCCATGCTGCTGCTCTCCAGGGCTCTTCAAACACCACCTGTATCTGGATTTTTATGGTTAAAGTGTTCACAGGTCCTATCTTAGCTCTAAAGAAGGAAGATATTAACAGTCTACAATGTTAGGAATGTGCAATGGAGGTAAAGCGTGCAAAGAGCCTCAACTGTGAGCTGGTGCAGTCTCACCTTGGGCACTGTGCACTGCAACATCAGAAGGATACAAGACTATTAGAGAGCTTCCAAAGGAAGGCTGTGAAGGTTAAAGATCTGTAAGGCAAGATGTATGAAGAGCAACAGAGTCCGTTTGTTTGCTCAACCCAGAGCAGAGGAGCTGAGGGGAGACCTCATGGCAGCTGCAGCTCCTCAAAGGCAGCGGAGGGGCAGCGCTGAGCTCTGCTCTCTGTGACAGTGACAGGGCCTGAAGGAACGGTGTGGAGCTGTGTCAGGGGAGGGGCAGGTTGAGTATCAGGAAGAAGTTTTGCACCAGAGGGCGGTGGGCATGGAAAAAGATTCCCAGAGCTGTGAACAGGGCCCCAGGATGGCCAGAGATCAGGGGGGTTTTAGATGATGATCTCAGAAATGGAGCTTGATTTTGGATGGTCCTTTGTGGAGCTTCAAGAGTTGGACTCAATGTTCCTTGTGGGTTCCTTTCAGTTCTGGATACTCCATGATTCTAATGAGCACAATAATTATAACTAAAATGTTAGACTCTTCAACCTTAAAATGAAGGAAAATCAACTACTTCTTCTATCTTGCCTGTTTTAATTCCCCAGAAATCATTATCTTCTATTCAAGTCAGGCACACAACAAGTAAAGTTTCACCAGACCCACAGTTCAGCAGAGAAAGAGCATTTGGTGTTCCTCTAGAAGCTCTCACAAAGAATGCAACGCAATGTGGAGTCCCCTCTCTTGTCACGCAGATGGTGGAGTATCTAGAAGTATTTGGTAAGTTAATGTTTTGTCTTCTCTGCTCTCTGAGAGCTGTTGTTATTTTTTTTTTTACATAAACTGTACATTTAAGCTGTAAATACTCAGCACTTCCATCATCTATTTCTATTATTGTGCTTTTTTAAAGAACTTTTTAAGATGCAGTTCTCACCACATAGGTATGATATATGACTCTTGCTTACTGCTTCATATTTCTTCTTGAGCAGGTCTGCAGCATGTTGGTATATTTCGAATCAGTGGTTCAGTGAATAAAATCAAGGAACTGAAGCAGAAGTACAATCAGGGAGAAGAAGTAGACCTCATTAATCATGGAGATGTTGATTCTGTGGCCAGCCTTCTGAAACTGTTTCTAAATGAACTGCCAGTGGCTGTTCTTCCAGACAACGTCTGTGCTGGCATGCTAAAAACTTTCCAAGGTACAGAATGGACATTTCTAAGCTTCCTTCTCCAAAAGATTCACTGCTTTACTAACTGCTGAGATACCATTTTTTAATCTAATCACCATAATATTATGTTTATTTATCTACTGCCTCACATCTCTCTTTCCAAAGCCAAATCTTCACTATTTCACATTTCCTTGTACAGCAACCTTTTTATTCCCTGTTCTGACGCAGTACTTTTTACCAATTTTCTTACCAACTTCCTTGAAGCAGTGGGTGGCATGGAATGGTGTGCAGTATTTTAATTGCAAAGCCAGAAGGAGTTGCTTAGAGCAATGCTGTCTAGTTCCCTGTTCCCACTGATAGTTCTTAATGTGTAAAATAAAATAAAACTCTACCATGGATGGTAGCTAATGCTTTCAGGCAATTACAGCAAGTGCTTTTCAGTGATAACCAGTTCAAGTTTTTGTGTACAAATAAGTGTGTTTTATGGGTTATACTGCAGGTTGCTCTTGTTCAAACTTCATCTGCTAATTCCAAGTTATATAAATACTTCAGAAAAAAGAAAAAAAAAACAAAAACCAAACCAACAGTGATGACAAAAAGAGACCACAGAAAATCACTTTCAGCAACTCTAAAAGATTGTGCTGAAAGATCTTTCTGTTTCCACAAATTTTTGCAATCATCATGTTTTGAGTACCCTGAATAATCTTGCTTGTTCTTTTTTTCCTCCTCCATTCCAACTCCTTTTCATTAATATGTTGAGCAACATGGGTCTTAATTTTTATGAAATGTATTTTTTAGGGTTACAATTGCCCTAAAGGATTGATTTGCTCTTCACAGTATTAAAGCTACACAGATGTTTCCTGGAGATCTACTGCAAATTTGGGCATCAGCTGACAGTTACTGAGCAGCACTGACATTTCAGTTCTAATATCCAGGAGACTTTACCACTCTAATTCTGAATTGCTGATCAAGCAGGGAGATAATTTTGCTTTGTAACATTTCTTTGAAGAATGGGAATCAAGGAAATGCTAAGTATCCACAATTTAGTTTTTTTGAGCATCTCGTGTAACTACACATGTATTTATAGAGCAAAATTGTTTTGAGATGGAGACCTACTAATTAGTCAGGAAATGGAGGTAAGTTGGGACTGAAGGGGTACTATTTCTTATACCTCTTAATGAGAGGCAAACAGCATGCGTCAGATCTCTGCGGAAAATCAAGGCTGATAATCTTATGTCCTCAAGGCAGCCTTAAGGATTCATGTACATGATTACTGTCTGTTACCAGCTTTACTAAAAAAGCAACAAGTACTAGCTTCTTCTATCCTAGCAGGAAGAATAGCATAAACAGTGCATATAAAACTTGTTATCTGGGAAATCTGTGAAAATAGTTACTAGAATTTAGTGTATAAATTCTTCATTTAGAATACATACTAAGAGTAAAGCACAGAACAAATATTTTAATGTCTCTGGTGAGGTTGTTATTACCAGGAATAACTATGAAATAACTTTTTTTTTTAATACAGAGCACAGGACCGACACTACAGAGTGCATAAAGAATCTGAGACAGTTAATTAGCTGCCTTCCCAAAACACATCAAAACCTTCTCCAGTTCCTGTCTGCATTCCTGTTAAAGGTAGCAACGTACAGTGCAGTGAATTGCATGACTCTGGAAAATTTAGCCATTGTGTTTGGACCTGCTCTTTTCAAGTGAGTACTACATGATCACACCTTAAAATAAGGCTTTCTATCATAACATATCCAATAGTAAGCATAGTGTTTTGAAAGTTAAATGTCTGTACAGAATATTATGGGCTAGTGTCTCTCCAAGATGCACAAGTAATTCATTGTATTCTTCGTCGAGAGAGTTTTGGATATATTGGTGCCACTGAATTGCATGTCAATACCTGAACAGTGGGCAGCTCTGCTTGCAAGCAGTAGGTGCTGAAGCTGCTGAAGGTGCATTTGAAATGGTAGAGGCCAGACACTAAACTGGGTGCTAAAAAAGAAAGGTGGGAGAGCATATGTCAGGTCAGTCAAGGTGGTAAGAAGCAGCAGCCTGGAATAGTCTGACAGTGCTGGGTTTCCCAGAGAAACTGAAATCTCAGCACTTCATCCAATCCTTCACATTGACACAGAAAAGTGATGAAGTGTTTATACTTGTTTCAAAATTTGTAAACCTTTGTTTCAGTGGATCAGTCATTCCAGCTTAGTGTGAATTACAGGCTAATGTCTACTTGCAAAATTTTTATTAATTATTGTCATTTTCTATACAGCAATAGAACTCTTGTGTTTTTTTCCTCCTACTTCTTAGTGTGGCAAATTTTTTAAAGGCAGATTTTTAAAAAGCATACTTGGTACCTATTTCACTGAATATATGTTAGAAAGTAATGACAATCTTTGTTTTGGGGAACTGTGCTCAGCATTTTCAGGGTGCTCCATGTCTTTTTCTCTGCTCTGAGAGCTTAATACAGGGTGTACAGCTTATAAACCCTTGCAAGTTAAAAAAAAAAAAAAACAGCTGGAGAGACTTATCTAGCAGTGTGTAGTGTGAGAGGGCTTATAGCATTCACTCTTACAAGAATAGTCTTCACCATGGAGCCTACTCCACGGGACTCCAGTGGAACAAAGCAGTTGTACAACAAAACCCCTTAATACCTGTGTACTGAAAGCTTATTAACTAATAAGTGTAGGCAAATGAGATTTGCTTCAAGTGTCTGGGCTAGTTGCATGATACTTAGAATAAGTAAAAAAGATTGATGCTAAAAAGCCTCCATCAAAAATCCAGACGTCACCCCATGCTAACTCAGCAAGGACTGCACTGACTGTCACACTTGTATCCTAAGGCACCTTTGCCATCACATTTAGCTTGTGTGCATGTAGACATAATGTTTTATTACTCTTTTCCCAAATTATTTGAATCTATGCCCACAGATTTCTTTATCTCTGCAGAAGAACCAAGTGGGTTCCATTTTTAATTGATAAACTCTTCCAGTTTTTAAGCATCCTAATCTATTTTGGGAGATCCTCAAGCTAGTTCCAATCATGCCTGTTTGTTTGGGTTTTTTTTAGAGTTCACTTAGTGCTAAACTAAATGTTTGTGGCAGTAATTTGTATGAGAAGCCTTAGAAATTATCAGCTTTGAGTTTCCCTGCCAGAGAGATTTGTTAAGCCAGCACAGCGTCTTAAATAGAAGTGTATCTACCCAATGAAAGTGAATGTTAATGCTTTTTATAGTCATTCTGATCTCACCAGCTCTGGGAGAGGTAAACCAGTAGGTCATTTTCTTTTTTGTGAAGTGTGTAGCTAGTGCTGTCCTTGAGAGCTACTTTATAGAATTGTGAAAAATCACCTTTCTGGTAATTGGGTGGGGAGGAGAGCCTTTCAACTGGCATTTTCTTTCAGTAAGATTGCTGTACTGCTTCCTGCTGAGTAGCCTGAGGCCTCCAAGATTCAGAGCAAACTGCTGTATTTTCCTGTACCAGATTAATTTCTAGGTAGTCAAGCATGGCACAAGGAATAAAGCCATACATTACCATTAAGTCTCTCAAAGAAGGACCTTTGCACGATTAGCTGCAACATCATTAAATGCTTGGCACCTAGGATACAGATAAACAGGAAAGTGAGACATACTGAGTGCTCCTTGCCATACTTTGAATATAGTTCTGCTTCAGAACATATAGCTTGTGGAAAATACAATTTTAATTCTAGTCTACAGAAACATACACCCCACGCTATTGTTGGAAATATCTTCCTGGATGTAACATTAACTATGGTTGTGACATTAATTTGTTGCAGGTATTAACTGTTCTTCACCTATACTGGTACTCTGCATTTTCAGTATAACAATGTCTTCCTGCTTTTATGTTGAGTTATTCATTATACTGTTCTGCTTTGGTTTTTGATCTGTTGATATTCAAGCATAAATTTGATTTTCAATTATTACCTGTCTAAATCTGTTGACAGTTTCATTATGGACACCTGTCATGTTCATAGTTCACTGTAGCAATTGGGCAAATCAGTATGATGGGAGGATCAGCATGATAGAAAGGTGCTATAAGGGAAGGGAAAAAGATTGCTTACCCATATCAGAAGATTCCAGGTTCACAGAGGAAAGCTCCACCAGAGAGAGTTTTCCGGGAAGAAATCTTCCCCTGTGGCAGTCAGCCCTTAAATGGATGTAAGAGGGGTGCAACCAGGCTCCATGCCTTCCAGTCACACAGCTGCATTGCCTTCACCTGTGCTCCCAGGGCTGACCAGGTCCTTTCTGCAGGTGCTCAATCAGCGCTTCAGGCTGTGACTCAACATTTCCTGTACGCTTCACTAAAGTGATGGAGTTTAGTATTTCAGTAATTGGACCATGGAGCAGTTACGGATTTTGAGACACAAAATTAGAGTATAAAACTTGTTGCTAATTACACCTTGCCAACCTAAACTGTGTATACCGAACAGCTATTAAGTACATTATCTCAACATAGAAATTACAAGCCTTAGCATAGGCGTTACATTGGAAGACTAGTTACAGGAACACAGAAAACTTACTACCTTGAATTTTAAATGCTAAAAAAAATCTCCATGTGAAAACTGGCTATTAAATATCACTTCTCTGATTTTAATCTGTTGCAACCCTTTACCTTAGTCCTGCTTGTTTTGAATATTTGACTGAAAACATTTTTACACTGGAATTATTCTCTATTATATTAGTGGCACATATACTTCTTGTCCCTGTTTGGTGTGATAGGACCAAAAGTGTCAATAAAAAAAGAAGGTATATATCAGAAAAAACGGTAACTGAGTAAAATATTCCAATTTTACTTTAGTCTCCATGAACCAGCTTCTGTTTTTTCCTTCCTGTGACACCATTCTCTTACATTTTGAGCCTTTTTTTGAGATTTTGAGGCATTTGTTTCTTGCTTTTTAAAACTTCAGCATTAAAATCTGCACAATGCAGCTATCGCGTCCTCACCTCCTTGTAGGTGAGGGAGCCAAAAAAGTAGCTCATAGGTCAAGAGTTACACTGGTTACTCCCTAGATTTTCTTTGCTGAGGCCCATTTTCTTTCAGTTTCCACCAGTGAATTCTTTCTGCTCATCCTCTGAACTATTCATTTCTATCGCTATTCATCCTTCTTGTGAGCTGTTTCGTGTCCTGTTAGCCTGCACAAGTGCTGAGAAGAGAGAATGTTGCTTTTCTTTTATCAGAGATTTGACCTGTATTACTTAGATTTCTGTGTGTACTTCGCTATGCCTCATCTTGCTAAAGAGATTTTTGCTAACTGCAGTTAGCAGTTCTTGGATGTGTGTGTAAGGATGCTAGCCAACTATCTGTTTGCATCTACTCATTTTGACTCATTCTTTCTGTAAATTTACAGCAAGTCTTACATGTAAGCTTCTGCCAGCAAGGAACCTTGGCAGGTCTCCTGAATAAAACCAAGGCAAAGCGTGTATGAGTTTTCTAGCTTGTGCTCTGTGGCAAAGCAACTTTGAAAGATTTAGGCTTTCTCAAGGAAAGCATTAATTGATTCCTGACAAATCAAGTTTTATTTCTCATTTTTAGAGTTCTTTTGTGTTTGATTTGTACTACAAAAGAGTTTTTGAGCTAAAGTGCAGCATGTGCTCCAGTAGCTATGCCCTTCCTAGGAACATATTCCTGGTCAGTGCAGAATGAACACAGCTCCTCTTGTCAGCCTGATGATTAGTTTCTGCTAGAAGCAGAAGTGTCTGAAGAGGCAGGAAGTGCTTGTTTTGCAGAACTAATTGAAACTGAATGTGGCTGCAGAGAAAACTAAAAATGTTCTTTCTATATTTGGAATCCTCATGTGTTGCCACCTGTGAATATCTGCAGATATCTGATATTTGGAGTTAGCAGTAGGGCCGCATTCTGAGTATTGCTTTGGTTTGTCTAAAGCTGACTTAGAATGGAGCACTCAGTAGTACTGTGTGAATGTGAGCCCCAGTAAATATGGAGAGAGCTGTTTGTGGAATGCTCCATGCTAACATAGTAAAGAGTTGGTAAATTAGAGAACAAATGTTTAATTCGATGAAAAAGAAGGCAGGGAACAGAAAAGATTCCTTGTAGCAACTGTGAATTGAGGGTATTAATGTTTGGGTAAAGTATGAGTAGTCTCATGAGGTTGCTGTGTGCTCTATTAACAAGCCTGAAAAAGAGGATTTTTATTTTTGTTTTGCTTTGTTTTTTGAGAAATTGATGAAGTTTTGAGAAAAAGAGGAATTCAAAAGGGAGAATTGTTAGCCAGTCCTGAAGAAAAAAGTGCTTGCTGATCAGGCGGTTTATCCAGTGCATCTAAGTTACATCTGCATGTAACTCTGCTTAAAACATTCTCCTTTAAAAGAAGCCCAAGCTCTTACAGAAACAACAGTAGGTAAAAGTAAAATGTGAAAACAAAAGCACTTGGACTGGACCTGGTCCATATATTCATACTTCAGAATTGCAAATGAATAAGGAACGTACCGATTTGGCAAACAGAAGACTGGTGTGTGCATTTCTCTTCTTTAGTCTCCAGAGTTTATGAATTTCTTGTTTAAATAATAATATCGTGCTGCGTAGAATTGAGTTGATGCAGCATAACTAGGGAAGCTGGATTAGGCAACAAATTTATATGCAAATGTCCTCCGAGCCTCCAGATAGGTCACGATGGGAATACACAGACCTTTCAGGGAATGAGATTACAATGCCACCTAATGAATCCCCAGATTTAAATTAAATTATTCCAACTTAGTCTACTTGTACGGATAGAACAAGTTAAACTACCACTTATTTAATAATAATAAAAAATCCCATGATGGACCATCTATTATTGGGAGCAGCTGGAAATTCTGCTACATGTGACCAAAGTCTATGAAATTACAAATTATTATAATGAAACACTGTCTTACTTACAATTTTCTTTTTTCCCCACAGGCTGTTCTCTTAATATTTGAGTCATCAAAATTCACCATCAGAAGCTGAAACAGCAAAACAGCTCTTTAAGCCCTTGTGCCTTTGAGTAGAGGCAGATTTTTGAGGCTTTTTTTTTTTTTTTTTGTCCTCTTCATCCTTGATTTTATGAACTTCACAGCTGAGAAACTGTCAGGCTCTAGCTATATTGTTGTACTGCATCAAAGATTCAGTGTGATGTGAGTAGCTGTAGCAAACTGAGACTCTATCACTGTGAGCTTTGCAGTATCGTGACCCCCAGCAAATGGAGATGACTCCCATCCCAACAATTACATATTAGGAAGGGGGCTGGAACACTTGTTTTATCCAGTTGTTCAACAGGCTGCATTCTGAATTGTTTGGGGTATTAGGGGTGCTTCCTGCATGACTTACCACTAGCCCCTGATCTCAGAGCTCTGAAACTTCATCTATCTGTTCTTCCCTTAGGATTCCCGTCAGTCCCTTGGCTTGTGAAGAACAAAGGCTTTACAATGGCCTCCTGCTGTATTTGCTTCAGCACTATGAGATGCTTTTTGTTGATGTGAACCCTTATTTCTCACCAAGACAAGCAGATGGCCTCCAGGTAAGAAAGTTACATGAACTGATTCAGCAAGGAAATGGAAATAATTTACTTTGTATGTAGTTTAGGTACTGACCACAGCTACTTGCGAGTACTGTGAATACTTATTCATCACATGCATAAGCTAGAGGGGAAACAGAAGTTAAAATTCTGATTTTTGAAAAAATGCAAATGTAATAGTATAAGAACTGAGTCAGGAATAGAATTCTAATGTTTTCCATTTTAAATATCTTAATGCAGAAATTTGTTAGATCAAAGCCACTGAATTTTTCCCCTGCTGAAACTCTTTATACCGTATTGCTATACATTGGTGAGTCAGGGGAGCAAAATACAGAAGAGTGAAACCCATTTCATCTTTCCATATTTTGCTGAACTGTCTGAGATTCTCCTTGGGCGACATGTTCTTCTTTAAAAGAATGTTAGTACTTTGATTTCTTGTTGGCCTCATTTGTCAAAAATCTCCTGGTGGAAGAACCTTGATAGACTATTGTTGCTTTAGGGGGGAAGGTCAATATAAGTTTAGCTTTCAGTTTGTGATGTCACATATCATTACTGCCTAATTTGAAATTGATTTTTTTAGAAAAAAAACTGGAGGGGCATGTAGTAGTAAGGCCTGCAGTCTCATACTACATACCATGAAGTTACCACAAATCCTTGCAAGTCATGCCTAGATGATTAGAAGGATAACAGATCATGTAGAGTATTATTAAATAGTTTTAAATTGTATGTAATTGAAGATCATGAGTCTCACATTTGTGACTCCATTCTTTTTGGCTTCTTACTTAATTTTCTGCAGTAAGGAAAAATCAGCAGACTTTTATAATGCTAAGTCACAGTTCATATGTAGAGCATGTTCTATATCTGCAAGGAGAATATTGGGACTGTCATTCTTCTTGGAACACCTCTCTATAAAAAAAAATTCTGAAAAATTCTGTATAATCATAGGTACAGAGAACAGAAGACACCAGTGCAAAGAAGTTTATGAAATGATTCCAAATCTAAAATCCTAGTCAATTCATATAGATAGCATCAAAACATGCACTTCTACCTCCCATCATACTCTCCTGTGTCACTGCTATCTTTGAGAATCCCTGAAACATGTACTCAAATGAGTGTGCAAGACCATCCAACTGTATATGCTTCTACTCACAATAACTATGTATTTTTACAGTAGCAAGAGGAAATTGGAAATGTCTTGGAAAAGCCAAGAGACTTGGCATTCTATTTCAATGACTCTTTTAGAAGGAACTTCACTCCCTGTAATTCTGCAGAATGTCACAGTCTGTCTGGGCTTGTGGTGATGTGGGAAAGAAGTATTGTGAAAAAAATCCTTTCAAGTTCTTTAATAAAAGTCCAGATGAAGCATAGCCACGAGGCACTCTCCTGCTCTGAGGTAAGCTTATGAAAGAAATCCCATCTGTGGTGAGAAGGGAATTTAGAATTCTGTGGTTGATCTTTCTTTTGTAATTTCTGGCAGGAAATCCAGCATATTGGATAGGTACTCTTCATCTTTCATAATATAACAATTGCTAAAAGTCCACTAAATGAGAAACATGAAAGTTAGGTTTACAAAGTAAACACAGTCAA